TCGAAATCGACTTTTTGGGTGGACACTGCCTTTAAGCTCAACTAACCATGAAAATGACCATTAAATGCAGTGTCTAGGCATATTTGTGATCACCTCCGACGCATTACCGAAGCGGGCCCCCATGTAAGTTATATCCCTACTGCAACGCAGAATATTGCCTCTAAAGCGAGAGAACAGCTACAGAAGTGTAAATAGGTTCACTCCTCGATTCAGCATTGTCCTTATCGAAGCAGGAAATATCGCCAGACCCCCGATACAGCCAATGACAACTTCTTGGCGCTCCTGCTTAGGGACGATACTGAATCGAGGGGCGGATCTATTTACACTTCTGAAGCTGTTTTCTCGCTCTCGAAGCAGTATTTTGCCCTCGCAGTTGGGCTATAGCTTGCATGGAGAGCCCGCTTCGGTAAGCGTTGAAACAGGTGATCCCAAATCTGCCACGGCACTGCTTTTAGAGGCATCGTCCACCTAAACTGGGATTGAAGAAACTGTGGTGTTATACAAAATAGGGTCCCTTAACTAGGCAATTTCCAAGTCTCGCTGCAAATGTTGGATTCTTAAGCAAGAAGACCTCCAGAAGGTAGAAGAGGCCACGCTGTCGATCAACTCTAACGTTTTGGAGATTACGATTCCAAGGGCTTCGGGCTAGACAGAACTATCAAAGATTCGATGTTCATAACGAAGAAATCGACAATTCTGGGTACAGTGAAGTAAAAGTTTAGACCTTTCATTTTCACACCACCCACATTGATAGGCGAGCAGGCGTGGCCGCTTCTACCTTCTGGAGTGGTCATCTCGTTTTAGAATTAATCTTTTGCAGCGAGACTTGAAGAATTACTTAGTCAGAGGCTCCGCTAATATATAGCATCAACTCATCACCCACAATTTGGGTGGGTTGCCTTTGAGTGTTCTTCATTGCTTTTGATTGCTCACGTGTGCACAATTTCAGGTTTTGAGAAAAAAGCGACACCCACTAACAGCACACATTGCACTTCATGATACTACAGGAATAAAACGCTTCTGAGTAAAGCTGAAACCAGACAAAACCGATGCGAAAGCGTCAACATGTTATGAGCTATTATTTGTACAAGCATATCAAAGCTACATTATGATCAACTGTCACTGGTACCATCACTCTTGACCGCAAGCTCTATGTAAAGCTCTTTGGGAGACTTTTTACTAAGCATGCCACCCGAAGAAGATAGAGAAACTGGGGAAGAAAGGAGATGTAATAAAAACGATGTTTGATGACATACCTCTATCGGACTCGGCGAGGAAACTTCACTCATTTGCAATTGTATTGCAGGAGTTGGATCAGAACCATACAGCTCGGGAGTGGTCCACGCATAAATCAATGCACATTGGGCGATGTCCACTAATGCGAGACCGTTCGTCATTCCTGTATGATTGTACATCATCTTCAAAGAATAATGTATCAAAACAAAGACGTTACCTAGAGCTATGACACCGAAAGCTGAATTCAGAGCTGTTGCAGTGACAGAATCGGCTTGGGACGTGGACGGCCATGGAACGAGGCAGGCCAATTCCGGCTAAAATGAACTTAATGTCTATTTGACAGGATACAAGTAAAGCTATTACTAACAAGCGAAGATTTTCTTTGGCCAAAGTGACCTTTCCGCATGACACCTATAACTTTGTGGAGCAGTGAACAGCTCGTCTGCTTTTTTCTGCCGAACACTCGAAAGAAATTATGAACGTCTAGAAATCCAGATTTCGCCAAGCTTTTAGCGGCGTAGAATTAGCGCTCTACAAAACACCTATGCGGGTCACAATGTCCTCCTTATAGTCACCCTTAATATAAAATTGATTACCATCTTTAGCTGTTTTTGTACAGCTTTCCGTTAATTCTATGTCACTCGCAGCATGAGAGATTCGAACATTCAAACACTCCTAACTTTTTTAGGGAGTTGTTCGCAAGAAAGGAAAGCAGATTTGGAATCAGCGTTCAAAGACGCCCCTAGTGATGTAGATGTCAAGTGGAAAGCTCCGACAAATAGCCTTCAGTTGTATGAGGAGCTTTCTCAAAAAGATGAAAGAAAAAACAAGCTCCATAAGCTCATCATCTTAAAACAACTTTCTTTGAGTTTGCAGTCGTTACTCGCATGAAAAAATTTATGACTCATTGCGGAGTCATAAGTCAAAATTTAACAACAGAAAGGTATCAAAGACGCTCAATACTTCAGACTCATTACAAAATCAAATACCTGGTATCCTGCAGGACGCTTCACTGGTGCTCCGCGCACCTTGAAAGGCAGTATCTGTTCATCGCCCGACGCATCGCTGGTGTCCGGACTATGCGTAGATTCCCTACTGAGCACCTAAAACATTCAAACATTTACAAACTGCAATAATGACTCGAAAAAGGAAGCAAGCCTAGATAGCAGGGGAGGATGCATAACAGAAGAAAGAAAAGAAACGTAGGATTGGTAAAGTCGAAAAAAAAGTCCATAGATTTTAACTGGAGGTAAGGCCGCGGTGAAAATGAGATAGACATCGAGAAATGATGACTTCCAAGATGCCGGAGTAGCTGCAATGTTAAATAAAGCTTTGAGAAAAACAAGACAAGCATATGGTATGACTAGAAGAGTAGCCAGCAACATATAAAAGCTTAGCATCTAAGTATAACCCGACAGCCGCATACCTTCCTTTGTCTCCGCATTTCTTTGTTGACTGGTGGTGGTGCACGCTCTTCAGCGTTGCTTGAAGATGCTCCTAACAATGGTATTTGAACAACCTAAAATCAGAAAACAGTTGGTACAAAAAGCTGGATTTATGATACAGCGCTATACGAGAGCAAAGAGTGGACAAAAAAAAAA